GTGCGTGTGTGTGTGTGTGTGTGTGTGTGTGTGTGTGTGTGTGTGTGTGTGTGTGTGTGTGTGTCTGTGTGTGTGTCTGTGTGTGTGTCTGTGCCCGCGTGACAAAATTGAACAAGAGTGTTGACGAATGACGAGAGGCAGGAAAAGACCGACCGGATGACTTCCTCTGGAGGCGAGAGCGTCGTGTTAAAAGGCATTTGGATGTGCACCTCATTTGCTTATTTGCACAAGGGCATCAATGCAGCGTAACAAGACATTGCTTTGTCGTGGGACTGCACATTGCAATGCCCGTTTTTCCTTGTAAATTGACTTGTTACCAAAGTGTTTGATTTAAGATTAGGTATTCCATGAATTACAAATAACAGTGGATCGCAAATTGAACCTTGTGGTACACCAGCGACTGTGATGGCTGATAAATATCAAGAAATGAATGTTTCAAAGTGGGATTTTGAAACCACCACTTCAAGCTGCTCAATGTCATTTCTGCTTCCTGGACAGGTAACTGCAACAACTTAAAAATCTCATTATTGTACTATAAATACAGTACATCTTAGAATGAAAAATACCAAAATTCAGCAGTAGTTTTAAGTTGAATTGTTTTAAGTCAAATTATCTTCTCATGTTGCTTAAATGATGCAAATTTTATCATTTTTTTTTCCCCCGTAGGTTTTTTTTAAAGTCCAGTTTTTGCAATGTCAAAAGGAATCGAAAGTTTCCCACATGAACAGAATGTCTACTCACAGCTAGCCTCTGCCATTTCTCTAGTTTTCACTCCAGCCGGCCTCCCTCAATGCGGTGGCGAGAAAGCGTGTGCGAGTGTGACGAGAAGAGAGCCAGTGATAAAAAGGCAAAATCTACAACTGGAAAATTGATCTTTTTCTTCTGGTTTCCACGCGCGTGAGTGCGCGTGTGTGCGTGTGTGTGTGTGTGTGTGTGTGTGTGTGTGTGTGTGTGTGTGTGTGTGTGTGTGTGTGTGTGTCTGCATATAAATTGATACATTTGCCTGGCCACCAGAAGACATTGAATTAGTCATTGCCCGGTACAACATAGATTCGGGCCAACCAGAGGTGGTCTTTGAGCACAACATGGGATTTCAAGTGGAAAGGAAGCCGAGTATGTTCCCTTTTTTTTTTTTTTTTTTTTTTTAATAAGCTGTATATCCAGAGTGTGTAACTGTGTTTGTGTTTTCCTTGAAATGGGATGTCAGGAGCCGTCTCCCCTTTATCTCTCAGAGGCTTTTGAGGTCCCGGACTCGCGTTAAACGCACGGGCGCACGCACACTTGGGATTGAACAATGCAGTTGCCATGGTAACAGAAGTGTCGGGCCAAGTTGCGCCTGTGCTAATCTCCTCGGGTGTCGGCGTGGTTTGGAAGTCTCCAATTAGGTGAGAGTTTTTGAGGCTCGCTTTATTAACGTCATGGGGTCAGGCGTGGCCTGGTTTGGGGATGGTGTTTAGTGACTGGGTTACAGTTGTTCTCCAGCTACGCATGGATTTTGCCCGCCAGCCTTGAGTTGGACACCTGTGCTAAAGTCGGACCGGTGTCTTGAAAACGCCGTTCCTTTCGAGTGCGGCCGAGGCCATCGCACCGGCCAGCTCTTTGCCCTCCCGCGTCCTCTGTCGTGTTCCCACTTCGCCATCTTGGCACACGAACGTGCCGCCGGCACCCCGACATCACTCAGACGCACTCCTCGCCCCTGACGCCAAACTGTCAGCGGCGTGCCCGTCGAGTGGTCTTGTCATCCTCGGCCTTTTCAAGAGCGCACGCCGCCGACAGGGGAGCGGAGGAGGCAGACAGATGATGAAGAAGGGACGGCGAAAAGCCGCGTCTGTGCGCTGGCTGGTAGAGGACAAATGAAGAAGAGCCATTGTTGCATTAGTGGAAATCATCAGTGCTGGGCTGTTCTGACCTAAATTTGCCATCAAAATTGGAATATTTTCCCCATGAAATTGTATTCATGTATTCCCAATCGTCTATTCTTTTCCTTTCGTGGTCTTTCTCTCGGCTACGCTGCTTCTTCTGAGGTTCCTGTATGTGGATAAGCGCCCAAGGCCTTTCAGAATTAAGAAGGCTTCAACTGTATTAGCAATTTCTTTAACCACTTAGGTTTCAATTCTCCTGTGACAACATCAGCGTGTTTATGAACTATTCCAAAAAAGGACGGCACTTGTTACCGAACAAGTGCTTGTTAGCTAGCGCCGCGTTTCGTGACAAAAGCAGGGAAGCCATTCCAAACACACAAGCACGGCTGTCGCTGAGGAGCGACGTCATCGAGTGTCACTTTTTGCTGGCTCTGACGTCGCTGACACAGTGAAAGCGCCATCGCTCCCAGACGACTGTTGGGCCGTTCTTTGTCTGGCGAATGGTCGCACTGCGCTGGAATATGGAAATAAATACATTTAAAATCCACCCCAAAGACTCATGTATTACATAAAATGACAACGACTACAAAGGAGGATTTTTTTTTTTTTGCGATAATTCTAGTTTGTTTTAGTCAATTTTGTATTCATAAAATGTACTTTCAATGAGTTTATTTTTTTAAAGCATTTTATTTTATTTCATGAACGGAAAAAAAATTCCATTTTAGTTTCACCTATTTTGTTCGTTTTCGTCAACCGAAATAACCTTCGTAAGAGCAAAACTATTTGGCTCGCAAAATACGTCGGTCCATTCACGGTCTGAAGTTTCACGAAACGTCAGTCAACTTGTATCTCGAGGCACCACTGGAATGCTGATGGTTAAGGGAACTATAGTGAGAGAAAAAGTCTACATTTTTTTCTATAAATGTCGTAGATTTGCAGTGAAATGTAAATGACGACGATGAGGGAAAATGTACATATTTGTACCTTCCAAAAGTGAATCGCAACAGTTGGTTTAAATTCGCGCCTGAAGTGCGTTTGCGCTGAAGAACAATCGTGAAAGGTGGCGGCGTGAAGCCGACCGCAAGCTTTTGCCGTCTTTCACCCGCGGGGAAGCATCGGCTTTCCTCGGAGCAGTCACTTCTCCCGATGAGCCGCCCGAGCCCCATTGAATCCATCAGCATTCCATCGAAAATAGCAAACAAGCTGATAGCTTCCGGAGGCCTCATTTCATGCTCGCTGAGCCTCTGCAGACAACACGCCGTCTTGTTACCCATCGCTTAATGACCACCTTTTTTTTTTTTTTTTTGCTCACTCAAGGCACCCAAGTGGCCGAAGCCAACGGCGCGGCGCGTTAATGGCACCTTGGCAGTCACAAAGCCGTCCCAGATGGTGTGTTTGTCGCAGCGTCCTGAATCACACGTTTGTTTTTTTTTTTTTCTCAAGAGCAAGACGGCCTTATCAGCTGACTGAAGCCAGGCTATTTATGTATTTTTAGCGGAGCGCTCTGTGAGGTCGCTGAGAGTTGAGGTATAATAAGGAGGAGTCGGAGCCGCGAGAACGAAAACCGCGCCGAGGCTAATGAGGCTTCGTTAACGGTGGCTAATTGGCGCTTTAACCTCGGGCTTGCCGGCAGGGAGGCATCATTTGTGTTCCTCCGCCAAACACACTTCAGGTCACCAAACTC